TATATATTTTGGACATATTATTAGAGAGAGGCTTAGAAAGGGACATTATACTTGGAAAGGTGGATAGTCAGCAGAGGAGATGAAAATCTTCAGTGGGATGTATTGAAACATTGCAACAATGGCCTCAATTGTGTCAGTGATAATAAGGATGGCACAGGAAAAGACAGAGTTCACATCTCTTGTTCGTAGGGTCATAATGAATTGTTCTCAACTTGATGACACTTAACAACAACAACAACAGAGATTACTATAGAATAACCAGTACATCATTTCCCTAGGGAACACTGGTGGCCCAGGAGATAAAGAGTTGCACTGCCCACTCAAAGGCAGATGGTTTGAATCCACCAGCTGCTTTATAGGAAGAGGATGGGAAGTCAATTCCTGTGTAATTTACAGATTCTTAAAAATCCTCTAGAGGGTCAGCTATGAGTTAATTCTGACTCAATGGCAGTGAGTTAATTTTAGATGGATTTTTGGAAGTTATAAATTCCACAGGAGGAGCTTGCCCATTCTTTTCTTGTGGTGCTGTTGCTAGATTTGAACTGTCAGAGAGACAAGGACTTTAGATTAACTGAAAACTCTACAGACTAGGCTACCAGAGCTCCCTGTAAAACTATAGAATAAAATAATATATAACATTTAATAAAACATAAATGCAGTGCATCTATAGCAGGTTTTGTTCTTTTGGTTCTTTTTGCATCCAACTTACTTTGCCTCTGTATCTCTTTGCTAACATCTACATAAAAGTATGGCCTGAATGGCTGGTACAAAGAGTTGACATAATTAGCTGCTTTTGTCTCATATACCTTGGGTGTATTATTAGAAAGGGGCCAGTCCCTAGAAAAGTACATAATGCTTACAAAGTTAGTCAGTGAAAGACAGGAAGACCTTCAACTAGGTGGGTTGACACAGTGGCTGCTGCAATGGGCTCCAGTGTATCAGAGATTGCAAGGATGACTCAGGACAGGACAGAGTTTAGATCCGCTATTCATAGGGTCTCTGTGAGTTATACTTGACTTGATGCCACCTAACGACCACCACCATATTAGAAGGTCAAGCTTCCCCAGACTTAGTGGTCCACTTCTGGAAATGTTAGAGGTTCAAGCTCCCCCAGACTTAGTGGTCTACTTCTGGAAAAGTAGCCATTGAAACCTTCTAGAGCACAGTTTTGCTCTGTACTCATGGGGTCTGTATGAATCAGAATGCACTAACAGCAGGGTTTTTGTTTAGTTTTTTTAAGTATGAACTTATGTTAACTACTTAGTGGGGAGCTCTGGTAGCCTGGTGGATAAGGAGTTATATTGTCAACCCAAAGGCATAGAGATCTAATCCACTGCTGCTCAGAAATGGAAAGTCCTTCCCATGTGATTTATAGCTTCTGAAAACCCACCACAAGGTCAACAATGAGTCTGTTTTGACTCAATTAACATGTAATAACATTTAGTATTTGATTTGTTTTGATAATATTTCAGTCAAATTTATATTTGTAACTTTCCTTGTATTTGGTGCCCCTTTAATCTAGTGACCTAGTTGGCTACCAGTACAGCTTAATCTGGATCTGCCTCACGCTCCAGCATCATGAGTTGTTTAGCAGCTGTCCACATGCATTGAGAGGAGAAGTTAAGGCAGCACAGGGCTCATTGCAAATACAGCCTTGTAAACAAACAAAGAGTCTTCATATTCATGGAGCAAGACATTGGTGACATTGGTCACATTTTCCTGAAGAGCTTTTCAGAGTACTGCCATCATCTCATGCCTATAGCCCTGTCTCCGTTGTGGTTTTCTCCATTATAATTATTCTCGTCTGTGTCCACATGCTGTAAGCAATCTTCTGTTGATGGGCTTTCTCCCACAGTACTCTCCCCATTAGAGAAGTAGAATTTTTTTAGAAATAGAAATTCATTTATTATCAAATCCCTACCTGCCTATTAGGAGACTTTGCTGAAGTAATGTATATAGAAAGTGATTCTTTAAGCTGACTCATGTTTTTCAAATAAAGAATGGTGACAATAATACTTCTGCTCATCAACCCTTTTTGCTGTCCAGATATTACCTTATTTTGAAAGCCAAAAGCCTCTTAGGAACTGAGGTAACAATTTTGCACTCACCATTTATTGAGGAGGAAATGTGTAGTGGTTAAGAACATGGGCTTAGTAGACAGGCTAGATTCAGGGGCCACCACTGACCCTCCAGCTGTGTGACTGGGGATGGATTATTCTCCCAGTCTGGATTCCTAATCCTTAAATTGGGATATTAACAGAGTCACCTTCACAGAATTGTTGAGAGGATTAAATGGATATTATGAGGTATAACATTTAATACAGTGTCAGGTAGACATGAACACTTGGTAAATACTAGCTTTCATGGCTTTCTATAGTTATTCGGGGTTCTTTCTGATAGATTCTATACAAAATCAGGGCAAATTTCTAATTCTCATGGCTTGATTAATTGAAGATGTTCTTGCTCACATGCTACTCTTTTTTCTGTTTTCATCTCATCTGGGACATACTTAATATTAATTAAAGAAGTAGAGCATGGTGTTGTTTTTTTTTAAGGGAAAATATGCTTATATATTTTAGCAAAGTCGTCTGTATGACTGTCATTCTGTAGTGATTTGAGTGTTGCAATCAAGCTAGAAGCTCTGCCACTAGTATTTCCAATTCTTTGGTGTCACCCAGCATGGACAGTTCCAACAGAACTTTCAGACTTAAGACACACTAGGAAGGAAGGCCTGGTGATTGACTCCTAAAAATCAGCAATGAAAATCTCATGAATCACCGCAGAAAGTCACCCCATATGGTTCTGGAATTGACTCTGATGTCCTAGTTCATAGCGTGTTGTACAGCTAACCCCAAATCTGCTCCTCTCTGGTGGTCTCAGTCCACCAACTGTTCCATGGGAGAAAGATGGGCCATCTCCTCCCATGCAATTAACAGTCTTGGAAACCCGCTGGCGGATCAGCTACTACTCTAATCTGACTTCACAGCAATCAGAGAAAGAGGGTAAGGGTGGGGGTGAGGGTGGGGGTGAGGGCCAAGGTGAAAGTGAGGATGAGGCTGAGTGTGAGTTCTGGAAGATGAGCTCCTGATGTTAGAAGGCAGCCAAAATACCAGTAGCTCCAACAGTGGACGCAGACATACCAGTGGAGTCTCTATAAGCCAAGTGACTGGATAGCATCTAACAACAGTAATGTCTTTTATAAAAACCATGGGCTGTTAATTTCCAAAAGCCTAAAACTCAGATACCTGGGAGTGGTTTCCTTGGCTTCACGTTCTGATGAAGTTGGAGGAGACACACAAGTATAATGATTCTGTGGCCAGGAACCACCTTCTCAGGGCAATGTGCTAGGTGTGGGGGGAAGGCCGTGGGTACAGAACTCCGTGATAGTCTAGCCCTATTTCTCCTTCTCAGTCACCCACTCCCACTAGGCAAAAAGCAAGAAGGTTCGTTATGATTTCTGCCTAGCATACCATTGTTTGTATACAAACATTTGATATGGAATGAAGTTAGAAATTAATCTCGTAAATGGCCATTTAAAAAAGACCTCTACGGCTGTAAGCAGACAATAGTGATTAGAACGTGGAATGTGAGAAGCATGAATGTAGAGAAATTGGACGTTGTTAAAAAATAAATGGAACACATAAATATTGACATACTAGGTATTGACAAAGTGAGATGGCTTAGTATAGGACATTTTGAATCAGATGATCATATGATCATATGATCTACTATGCCAGGGATGAAAAGGTGAGAAAAAAAATGAGGTTGCTTCTATAATAAAAAAAGTTATTTCTAGATCCATCATGAAATACAATATGGTGAGTGACAGGATAATATCTATACATATACAAAGAATTCCACTGAATACCCCTATCATTCAAATATATGCATCGACAGCTAGAGCCAAAGAGGAGGAAATAGAAGATTTCTACCAACATCTGCAGTCAGAAATTGATCAAATATTCAATCAAGATGTATTGATAATAATGGGTGATTATAATGCAAAAGTTGGGAACAGAGAAGAAAGACCAGTAGCTGGAAAACATGGAATTGGTAACAAATAAAGCTGGAGATATAATGATAGAATTCTGCACATTCAATGATTTATTTATTGCAAATACCTTTTATAAGAAACACAAACACAGGCTATACACATGGATTTCACTTGATGGTATGCACAGGTATCAAACCAATTACATCTGTGGAAAGAATCCCTGGAGAAGCTTAATATTAGCTTGAAAACCAGGCCATGTGCTGAAGAGCAATGATGTCTGGAGACTAAGGTGTGCCTGATCCAGGACATGGTCTTGGCAATTACTTGCTATACATCAGAGAGCTGAGCAATAACTAGGGATGACAGGAGAAGAATTGATGTTTTTAAGTTGTGCTGGAGAAGCATATTGAATATACTATAGACTGCTAAGAGAACAAGCAGGTTTGTTCTAGAGAGGCTGCTTCTTAGAGGCAAGGATTCTAAAGCTTCATCTGACATACTTTGGGTATGTTGAAAGGAGGGACCAGTCCTTGGAGAGGGACATCATGTTTGGGAGGGTGGATGGACAGCAGAGGAGAGGATGACCCTTGATGCAATGGATCGATTCAGTGAGTGAGATAATGGGAGTAGGTATGTTGGAGACAATGAGATTGGCACAGGGTAGAGCAGGGTTTAGGGCTCTTGTACATAGGGTGGCTATGAGTCACAAGCGACTAAAAGGCACATAACAACAACATATTCCAAGGGAACTCTAAGAATCTGCATTGCAATCCCATAGGCATGCAGTTTGGATCCACCAGCTGTTTCTTGGGAGAAGGATGGGCAGTCTCCTCCATTGTGATTAACTGCTTCTGAAAATCAAGTCAGTTCTGACTTGATGGTACACAACAACAACAGCCTCTATATTCCAACCCATTCTGCTTCCTTAGAGGCTCCTGATCTCTGAATAATATTGTTGGAAGTGCTTTATCAACTCTGCTCATTTTATTTCTTCTCTTTGTTACAGATTGATGTTCTCAAGGCAGATCTGGAAAGCGCAGAATGGAAAGTTTTGGAAAATCTTATTCTGGAAGATGTCCTTGAGCAGATTGGGCAGCTTGTCTTTGAGATCCACCTCCACTGGCCCGGGTTCGAGGTCGGGGGCAGTGACAGCAGTGTCGTGAGGTTCTGGTACAGTCTCCTTAAAGAGTTAGAACTGAAGGACTTCAGGCTTTTTCACAGTTACAAAGACTTATCTAAGCCCCAGCTCTTCCTGAAGAGAGACATTTTCAATGCCAGTAGCTGTTACACTCTGAGTTGGGTGAATACAAGATGGAAATAGGTGCACTTTCAACAAGAACTCAAGGAAATATTTACAGAATGGAGTGAGCTCACAATTCTAACCGTTTACTTGTCTGACCGCCCACCAGCCTTCTTTCTTGGGGCAGGTATTGTGTTATTGCCTTGTAGTGCATGGAGTCTGGTGCCTGTGCATGACACAGTGAACACTTGGTAAAAGGATGAGTGTAAGTATTGTCACAGGAGTCAACTGCCATCCCTCAGAAATGCAATTCTGCCTTTTTCTGTCTCTGACAGAGTAGCATTTCTTGTCCTCCTTCATCATTATCTCAAACTTAAGTATTATAAGTAAATGTATAATACATATACATATTATTACATATATGTTACAAATGTATAATATGGATTACATAGTAAACAAATGAGAACTGACTCATAGCTGACCCTCCACTGGGTTTTCAGAGGCTGTAATCGCACAGGAAGATGTTGCCCATCTTTCTGTCATGGAGCAAATAGTAGATAATGAACTGTAAGAGAGGTATGACCTTTGGGTTAGCAGTACAGTTTCCTGTGAACTAGGGTTAAAGTGCAGCCTAAATACTTCTACAAAAAAGTTTCTTCACTTAGGACGAATGTAACCTTTAAATTGGGGTGTTTAAATGTGCTTGGATTTTTTAAACCAATTTTGGCATATATAAATGAAAGAAAGTGATATCAAGCAAATATGTGTTGAACAATTGAATTCTTGATAGCCAGTGGCTTGTTTTCAATGTTTGCTATAAACACCTTGAAGGTCTAACCTTTGATGAACTAATTCAAGTGAAGATCTCCAAGGGAACCAAACCCTTGAGTATATTGAGAAAGATAATTTCCTATTGCTCTGGTCACCTAGTGGCAAGAAGCTGCACTGCAGTCTTGAAGGCACCCAGTTCGAGGCCACCAGCTGCACCTCAGGAGAAGAATGGGTAATTTCCTCATGTGTGATTAACTGTCTCTGAAAACCTGCTGGAGGGTCAGCTTTGTGCTGGTTCCAGCTCTACGGTACACACAGCAACAACATACTTTACCTCAGGGAGCTCTGGTGGCTAAGTGGTAAGGCATTGCACTGCCAACTGAAATGCACATAGTTCGAATCCACCTGATGCTTCACGGGAGAAGGATGAGCAGTCTCCTCCTGTGCAACTTACTGCCTCTGAAAACCAGCTATGGATGTGTACTGATTCAACCATACACACAACAAAAACAACATACTTTAGCTTATCCCAGTTTCCCTAATATCTATTACATGTCTATAAATCCAAAATTCCCTAACATTAAAAAGAAGCTGTATACACTTTCAATTTTAAGTAAGTTAATGAAAATCTTAAATTTATTGTCTACTGATTTTTAAAAAAGGTTTTATTTCATTTGACTTTGCATATGCCCTGGCAAGGGTTTTCCATGCCCACCCTGTCAATAATACCTTTCCCAAGAGTGAGACTCTGTGATCCTTCACCAGCCTTTGCTTAGGCCCACACTGTGGTTTTATAAGACACATTGATTTTGGCCTCTGGGGACTTTAGCACACAAAATTCTACTTCTGAATCTCCTACACTAGACGATAAAGCCCTTTGATTTGAAATCTGTCACATACTCAGCCTTAAACCCTCTTCTGTTTTTAGGAAACTAAGCACAAAGCAGAATTTGAGAGTTTGCAGTGTTGCCTCTTCTGATGCCAACCCTGATTTTTCCAACCAGACAAGACCACTCTGTAATTTTTTTTTAAAAAGCGCTTGTGTGTGTGTGTGCGCACGCGCACACGCATTATGTGCTGTCGTGTCACCTGTGATTCAAAGAAACCTTATGTCCAATGGCTCTGAAGTCTGCCCTATCCTGAGCCAGTCTCATTGACTCCAGCACATCTACCCCCACTGGCTCAGTTACTGTTTTCAATCCATCTTATCCAGGGTCTTCCTCTCCACCCTTCTGAGCATGATGTCCTTCTCCAAGGATCAGTCCCTCCTGGCTTTGTGCCCAATATATGTAAGATACAGCTTTGAAATCCTTGCCTTCAAGGAGAAAGTTAGTTTTAACCTCTCCAAGAAAGACCTATTTGTTCTCCTGGTAGTCTATGATATAGTCAATACTTTTCTCCAGAACCACAACTCAAAGGCATCAATTCTTTTTCTGTCATCCTTAGTCATTGTCCATTTCTCTGATGTATAGTATGTGGTTGTGAAGACCATAGCCTGGATTAGGCACCTTAGTCTCCAGACTGACATAGTTGTTCCTCAGTACTCTGGAGAGGTCCCTAACAGCAAATTTCCCCAATGTGATGTATCTTTTGATTTCCTGACTGCTGATGTCAAAAGTGTTGATTGTAGAGATGAGCAAATGGAAACTGTTAACAACCTCAATCTCTTTTCTATCTATCATGGTACTGATGGTTGTCCTAGTGATGAAAAGACTACAGTCCTTGACTTTCTGCAGTAAATGCTTCATGTTCTCCTCAGGTTCAGCAAACAATGTTGTGTCATCTGCATAGTGCAGGTTGTTGACGAGTCTTCCTCCAATCCTGATGCCACCACACTCCTCCTCAGAAAGTCCAGCTTCCCAAATTATCTGTCCTGTATATGGATTGAAAAGGTATGGAGACAGGATGCATCCCTGATGTACTTCCCTTCTTAATTTTGAACCATGCAGTGTTTCCCTGCTCAGTCCTGAGGACTCTCTTCTGTTCCGAGTGTAGGTTTCACATGAACACAATCAAGTGTTCTGGGATTCCCATTCTCCTGAGGGTTAACCACAATTTGTTGTGATCTACACAGTCAAATGCCTTTGCATAGTCAATAAAACACAGATAGATATCCCTCTGATACTCTCTGCTTTCAGCCATGATCCATCTAACATTATTGGTGATAAGGTGTCCAGTGCCATGGCCTCTGTGCAATCCCAAGTACTGAGTAAATTTTTCTATATGTCCAGTTGATATTAGTAGTAAGTTTGTAGCCTGAGGCCCACAGTCCCTCAGTTTCTTAGCATGCTTATGTAGTATTTCAGTAGTACCAAGCTGTTTACATTTCTTTGGTTTAAATTAGAAAATGAGGCTTGTAAATTGTTCAAATGATAATCCTTTCTAGGTGCTTAAGTATTAGATAAGGAGCACAAGCAAATAGGTGCTTGGCTGCTGACTTGAAAGGTTGGCCATTCGAAAACCCCCAGTGGCTCTGAGGGAGAGAACCTGAAAGTCTGCTTCTGTGATGATTACACCTAAGAAAACCCCATAGAGCGTTCATCCTGCGCAGTGGCTACATGGGGTCACTATGAGTCAAAATTGATGCGACAGCACCATGAGGATTACAGCCTTTTCAGAAGTCATGGCTTGAATAAATTAACAAGAAAATATAAAGTGTTATTATTCCAGTGCTGATGAACACATTCTGACTCATAGGGACCCTATAGGACAAAGTAGGGTTTCCAAGGCTAAAGTCTTTTATGTGAACAGATGCCACATTTTCTCCTTACAAAGTGGCTGGTGGATTTGAACTACTGACCTTTCAGTTAGCTGGTAGGCATGTAACCACTATATCACTAACATTCCTCTTAAAAAGGTATATGTACTACGTTAGTAAAAATTAAGCATATCTTTGATGTTCCTTTATTCTGAGAGAACATGAAATTATGTGCATTGTTTATTTAAAAAATTGAGGAGAGAACAGAATATTTATTAGAATTTATTTCTTCAACCTACCTCTTCCCTGATACATTCTCAGGGATGGTGTTTTCATGTTTGTTTGTTTTTATAGTAGTTTAAAAAAATTCATTCTTCAAATGAGAAGCAAAAATGACTAGAAATCAGGTAATCTTTCTAGCTTAGGTTTATAAGGGAACAAGACTTTGTGAGCTACTTTTGATAATTTTTAAAAATAGAAATGACATCTTTATTTAAAAGTGCAGCATATAAGTAAAAGGCATCGAGCAGAGAGAACCTGCTTGAATAAGCATGTTTGAGAGACTCTACTTGCTTTCAATCTATTTGGGTATTGGACCAGCATGGCAGGATAAAAACAAACCAACCAACCCAAAACTCACAAAATAACCCCTCTAAAATGATTTCTACTTTAACTCAAACAGTGGAATCTCAAAAGTTTGCTTTAACCCAGGGCCTGTTTGGATTATATGGCAACAGATTCTCTCTTGAAAAAAAGAAAATTCTCGAACACTATAATATGACAGATGTACTAATTAAATGTATTGTTTGATGAGCTTTTGAATAGGGGCATATCCATACCAAGTCTTCTTTCACAGAGGTGAAGATTGCTGGCTTTGTTGACAGTGTTGTGTGTGCAGGCTTGTGTAGTAGGTTGGTGGGACCAACAGTGACTCCCTCGTACTCATACAGGGACACCTGTGAGGGCCGGAACTCAGCAGAACCACCCCATTTCAGAATCTCACCGGCTTTCTATCTTTGACAGGGTGCAGTCTTGCTCCATTCCTGTGTCCATTAGTGGAAAGTATTTGAGCTGTCCTTCTCTGACAGATTTCTGCCTTCCATCGAGTCCAACTTGTAAAGGTTTTACTGTAAATTTATATGTGAGGCAGTTATACTGTGTCATAGACGATCATTCTGGGTTGGAATCAACTCTGCAATGAACAACACATCTACTTATATTTGCATATGGATCTATATCTCTTTATAGGTGGATGTGTATATATACACACATACATATGAAGCAAGAATGGATGCACTGCTAAAATGAAAAGAAAAAAAAATAAAGCAAACTCAAAATAAATCTGACGCGCACACCCACCTCCTAGCAGCCCGTTCAGTAGTTAGTTGCACTTATTTTATGCCTGTTTTGATGACTGTCCTTCATTCCCTTTATGGATAGTGGGGAGTTTGTGATGCACCTTCCGACTGTTGCTATGGTTTCTTTGCTTCTAGATTTTATGATGCTTTCCATTCAGGCAGAGTTTCTTAGCTGTGGCACTGCTGACATTTTGGGCTGTTTAATTCCTTGTTGGGGAGGGCTGTGCTATATATTGCGGAATGTTAGGCAGCAT